GACCACGGGTCCCACCCAATATGGCCATGCGTACGCTATCACCCCCATCTGCTTTCTCCACCCACCATCCTCTCTCTTGTCTGGGCTGGCCCCCAACCAGTTTGTACCCATGCCTGCCGCACCCCGTTCCCCAGCACCAGAGCTGCCCCAGGGAAGGTGCAAAAGAAGCGTGGGAAGCGACTGAGACTCTACAAAAAGCATCACGAGCCATTTCTTTTAATTCAGATTTCTTCTGTAAGGCGGTTGGGACAGTTTCGGAGGGGTATTGCAGGCAAATGAACAGAAAGGCACGGGGCTAAGTTTGTACCCATGCCTGCCGCACCCCGTTCCCCAGCACCAGAGCTGCCCCAGGGAAGGTGCAAAAGAAGCGTGGGAAGCGACTGAGACTCTACAAAAAGCATCACGAGCCATTTCTTTTAATTCAGATTTCTTCTGTAAGGCGGTTGGGACAGTTTCGGAGGGGTATTGCAGGCAAATGAACAGAAAGGCACGGGGCTATTTCATTTATCGCAGAGGTGGCTGGTTACCGCTGTTAAAAAGATCGGAAAAAATATTCTGGACAGAGCAGAGATGCCGTGCGAATTCCTGGAACCGTGGCTTCTTGGGATGGCACTTCGACATGTCAGGCAAGCTTACAAGTAGACTAGGTAGAACACGGTCGTAGCTGGAAATTGGACACGACAGCTGAGTTAACATCAGGCTCTTGTGCTGAATCCTTCAAGATCTCAGCCATACACAGTGACTGCCCTAAAAATTCTTCCCCTTGCAGAAATTCTCCCTGCCTGAGGGATTCCCGTTAGCTACAGAAATAGGAAATACCAGGAGTATCTGTAACCTCTCACTTGGTGTATTTACTGCTTACGTTTCCCAGAGAAAATTCAATTTGATAGGAGCAGAAAGAACAGCACTATTCATTAGCGACAGGAGAAGATAGGAGGCCGGAAAGCTGGAAGATTTAAACAAGTGGAAACTCTCACATCAGTCCTTCATCTATCAGAATTGCTCCTAACCCTCTGCAATTCAGATTCAAACAACACCTATCACTCTGGTTTTCACCCTGCGGTCCGTGATCGGCGGTCTGTGTCTAAGATTTCCAAAGAACTCTGCACCGCCATGTGACTTTTTTTAGGGGCTCACAAATGGAGAAAGGCAGAACACCACGGCTGTGTCTAGACTGGCAAGTTTTTCCGCAAAAGCAGCTGCTTCCCCGCAGTCTACACTGGTCGCTTGAATTTCCGCAAGAACACTGACGATCTCATGTAAGATTGGCAGTGTTCTTGCGGAAATGCTATGCTGCTCCCGTTCGGGCAAAAGCCCTCTTGCACAAATGCTTGTTTTGCGCAAAAAAGCCCCGCTGGCGAAAATGGCGATCGGGACTTTCTTGCGCAAAACCGCGTCTAGATTGGCACGTGT